ATGAGTGAGCTGATGCTCGTGGTCGTGGTCGTGCACCAGGTAGAGCCTTCCCAGCAAGATACAGATCGCCAGACGACTACCTTCCCAGGAGAGCGGGAAGAGGTTATCAGTGGAGTGGCTATCAGGGTGAGGTGAGTACTGGACAGGACAGGACAGCTTTATTTTTATTTGGACAGTGGAACGGAACTGGTCCAGCTCCACCCCGTGCGTCCCTTCGTCCTTTTTAGGTACGGCACCCCGCACCCCGCACCACCAAAGTCCAAAGGCACGACGCACCGCACCAACGTCGAGTAGACAGCTACAGTTTTTGTTTATTCTAGTTTTTTTTTTCTTTCTTGTTTGCGGTTCTGAAATAATTACTTCTAGGTTTATTTGTTTGCGGATCTGAATCAATGATCCTCCAATACTTAAATAATTTTCCATTTTAAATTATTAGTCATCTTGACTTTTATAGATACATACATAATTTTTACCGTGTGTCTAGGCATAATATATCTAGCTGTACAACAAAAACTACGTAGCACAAAACACCTTAACAATTTGGAACTAACAAGGGAGTACAAAAAAGTAAAAATGTTTTTTTTTTTGCTTCTTTCGCCATCTTTTCATGAGTGTCAATACTTGTGTTAGGTTCATATATATATATACCATAGATCTCCCTATCTTCTTTTAGTTCCTGAGATAATAAGTTTAATATGAAAAATACCGAAGTAGACATAGGCTAAATTGATAAGGTGAAAACAAGGATAAATCCACATGATTTAGGTAATTAGGTATGTGCATGAGAAAGCATTTTTTGTAGATGCTCAACCCAATAGAATGGCCCACAGGTCACGTTGGTCATCTCCATCTTCATGGAAAGTGGAATCATCTCTAGTTAGGTCTCCAAGGGACAAATACCTAACATTCTCCTCATGTGTCCACATCTTTAGCAACTAAGTGTCCCAACTCTAAATATACTGGCATATGACTTGTTACACACTATTGATATTTTTGTTCCTCATATATGAACAACTTTTTTCAAAATCAAGTTCAACATATCACCAATAATTTAGACAATTCACTGAAGCTTGTTTTTATAGTGTACAACAAAATGATCATTAAAGATAGGCTACATCAAAACATAGTTTTACTGGATTTATAGCCCATTTATGTTTTTGAAGTCCATTAGCATTATTGAAAATAGTCGTAAAACTACTGAATGGACAACATATAATTTTATTGTTAAAATAAGAAAGTATATTATGGCCTGGCACACCATAAGAAAGCTCAGTGGCCCATGTATCAATTAATAAAAAGAAAGAAAATGAACTATCTATGCACGCGCCCCCTCCACCTACCCCCTTGACAGAACATCGGCTTTTTATCCAGTAAGATGCCAGTGGTGCAAGAAGGGAAGGCCGATCCAAGATCACCACCCGTTGCCGACTGTCAGAGATCACCGTTCGCCAGCATTAAAGCCCCTCCTATGCTCTCCCTTTTTATCACCCCCCTCGCACCTCCTTTCTAAAATCTGAGATTCACTTTGTTGTTTATTATGATGAAGAGGGGATCGAGACATGGTGGATTTGCTAAATCTGAGATTCACTTTGTTGTTTATTATTCCTTATGTTCTAACCTATAAGACGTTTTTACTTACATTGTTTTTACTGTGTATTTAGATATAGTGTTTATCTAAGGGTATAGCCAAAGTTATGTACCTAAAAAAAAAATCTTATAATTTGAAATGAATGGAGTACTTTCTTACCTAATTGTGGGCAAAATTTTTTACCGGTTCGTAAATGAATTTTACCGAATTACAGTACATGTGAATTTTTTTGATACAGCATTATATCCTATATAAAAAAAATAATCTTAGGTTCCCAACTGAACACGACGACAATATTTATTTGTATTTGCAACTCTGCCACATTTTTATAATACCATACCACTCGGATTATTTTTCTCTTTTCTTGGCATGTTTTGTGACCGTCGTCCATGTGCTTTTCAATACCCTCCTGGTGTTAGTTAAATCGTGGGCGCTAATGGTATCCGTACAGTGCATAGACATGGGGCCCACACAAAGACGACGCAAGGGAATGCGTTGTCGCTGACACAGACACACAACCACGGAACGGAACAGGACGGGAAAGAAAAGAAAAGCCGTCCCCAGGGAGCACGGGACCAGTCAGCAACAACTACTGCTTGCCTCTCACACACACTACCGCGAGATGCCAAAGTGGGGGCAGGGGTCCACATGTCTGTGTCACGGGCCGGCGAACCGTCCGGTACGCTTCGCTTCGACATGACGTACCCGTCCGCACCACCAGGCTGTACGATCTGCGTCCTCCCCCTCCCCCGCATCGCCCCCTCCCCACCTGACTCACTTCCCAACCTTCCCTTTCCCCATCCTGCCCCCCGCCGAGTACACCCGCCGTACCGTACCTTCCGTCCAATCCGATGCCATACGGCCACAGGTTTTACCGTCGTACCCCTGACGGCGACTCTCCTCAGCAGGGGCGTAGGGGCAAATACGGAAATCACAGGCGCAGTCGGCGCATTCCCCAGTACGACACTCCCCAGGGGTAGCCTCGTCATTTATTTTTTTCTCCTACACATCTCACCACCGCGTCTGGTTAGTTATTCTTGACTTCTTGTTGTTGCCCAGTGCCATCGCCGGCCGCTTGCCCATTTTTCTTTCCTCCCTTCAGCCACCGCCGGATCAAGAAGCCAGCCGCCGTCCGCCCGTACTCCGTGTCAAGAAGCCACCGAGACCAGCCCACCCCTCCCTCCCTCTCCCTCCCCCTCCCCATGGACGCGGTGGCATCCCACCACCAGCAGCACAGGCACCCCAAGCGCCGCCGCCTCGCCCTCGCCCTCTCCCCATCCCCGACACCCGACGACGCCGCGCCGCCGCTCGACTCGCTGGCCGACGAGCTGCTCTTCCTGGTGCTGGACCGCGTGGCCCAAGCCGACCCGCGAGCGCTCAAGTCCTTCGCTTTGGCCTCCCGCGCCTGCCACGCCGCGGAGTCCCGGCACCGCCACGTCGTCCGCCCGCTCCGCACGGACCTGCTCCCCGCCGCGCTGGCGCGGTACCCGTGCGCCACCCGCCTCGACCTCTCCCTCTGCGCACGCGTCCCCGACGCCGCCCTCGCCTCCGCCGTCGTCTCCGGGCCCTCCGCGCTCCGCGCCGTCGACCTCTCCCGCTCCCGCGGGTTCGGCGCCGCGGGCGTCGCCGCGCTCGCCGCGTCGTGCCCGGGCCTCGCCGACCTCGACCTCTCCAATGGGGTCGACCTCGGGGACGCCGCGGCCGCCGAGGTGGCGCGGGCCAAGGGACTGCGGAGGCTCTCGCTGGCAAGGTGGAAGACGCTCACCGACATGGGGCTCGGGTGCGTCGCCGTCGGGTGCGCGGAGTTGAGGGAGCTCTCGCTCAAGTGGTGCCTTGGGGTCTCGGATCTGGGGATCCAGCTCCTCGCCCTCAAGTGCAAGAAGCTCACCAGCCTGGATCTCTCCTACACCATGGTGAGCGTTGTGCGGGTTTCTCTGGGTTCTCTGTTCGTTTCTTGGATGATTCTGTCTTCTTGTTTCCTTGTAGTACGTTTCTTGATTTGATTTCAAGGCATCAGGTTCCCTCTTTAATTCACTGGAGAGAAAATGGGTTTCAGCTATTTCCTTTGCTACAAATCTGCTACCTTCACCAGTTACTATAGTACATCATTTGCTCAATCTATTTTATTCAGTTAGTGCTTAGGGCATTGGATCACTTCAGTGTATAGGGACTTATAGGTAGTATAGTATTCTTGATCTGCAGACGTTCCTATCTACAAACATGGCAAATCATCTTTGCAACAATGGATCAGCAGAGCACTACTAGTAGCCAACTCTAGTTTCTCTTGCAGCTTTGTGCCTAGTCCCTACCGACCCACTTTATCATATCGTGCTGGAGTAATAATAAAACGGAAACGTATCTTGTGTTGCAGATCACACAGGATAGCTTTCTTCCCATCATGAAGCTACCCAATCTTCAAGAGTTGACACTGGTGGGGTGTATTGGAATTGATGACGATGCTCTTGGCAGTCTTGAGAAAGAATGCAGTAAATCGCTACAGGTGAGTTACTCATGGTAATTTGCTGTTTTTGTTGATTTATACTTGTTACTAGCAATCACACATCACCTTCATTTGAAACACTGGTAGTATTTTGATCTGCTTGGTCACTGTTAGGTTCTGAATTCTGCTGATACCTTGTGTGAACTAGTCAACTGACTAAAATATGTATTTTTCATAATTCACAAAAGAAAATGTTTGATGGTAGCACAAAGCTCCGCTTATTACTGAACTCGCATGCTTGCACTGTTGCAGGTGCTTGATCTGTCTCAGTGTCAGAATATCACTGATGTGGGAGTTTCAGCCATACTGAAGTCGGTACCCAATCTATTGGAACTAGATCTTTCATACTGCTGTCCTGTAAGTAGCCAACCATCTAGTCGTATTATTCTATCACCTGGGCATAACTTGAGCCCTCACAGCTTAACTTACATCCTTTGTGTATCAGGTTACTCCTTCTATGGTGAGAAGCTTACAGAAGATTCCTAAACTGCGGACCCTGAAGCTGGAAGGCTGCAAATTCATAGCTGATGGACTAAAAGCTATTGGAACCTCTTGTGTTTCTTTAAGGGAGTTAAGCTTGAGCAAGTGCTCTGGAGTGACGGATACAGAACTCTCTTTTGCCGTGTCAAGACTAAAGAACCTGCTGAAGTTGGACATTACTTGTTGCCGCAATATCACTGATGTTTCACTAGCGGCCATAACTAGTTCATGCACTTCCCTCGTCTCTTTGAGGATGGAGTCTTGTAGCCGTGTTTCTAGTGGAGCACTCCAACTGATCGGGAAGCACTGTTCTCACTTGGAAGAGTTGGACCTTACTGACAGTGATTTGGATGGTGAAGGTACTTACTGAACTGGTTACTGAATTATTCTTTGCCAAATGAACATAAAGTTGACCCTGGATATATTGTGTAGGATTGAAAGCTCTTGCCAGATGCAGCAAACTTTCAAGTCTAAAAATTGGAATTTGCTTGAAGATTAGTGATGAAGGTCTTACCCACATTGGAAGGTCTTGCCCAAAACTCCGCGACATTGATCTGTACAGGTAATTATTAGACATGCCTTATGGTTTTCTTTATTTGGTTCTTTGTCAGTAAACTAACTTATATTTTCTGTTTCAGGTGTGGAGGCCTTAGTGATGATGGAATTATTCAAATTGCACAGGGTTGTCCAATGCTAGAGTCTATCAATCTATCCTACTGTACAGAAATAACAGACAGTTCACTGATATCACTTTCAAAATGCGCAAAGCTGAATACTCTGGAGATTCGTGGCTGCCCCATGATTACATCCACTGGGCTCTCAGAAATAGCGATGGGGTGCAGGCTACTTTCCAAGCTTGATATTAAGAAATGCTTTGATATTAATGATGTGGGAATGCTTTACCTTTCCCAGTTCTCTCATAGCCTCCGTCAGGTATTATCCTTTTCTCCTGTAACTGTAACTAGAATCTGATGGTACCATGTATGTTCTGCAATTGTGATAATACCATCTATGTCTCATCACAGATAAACTTGTCGTATTGTTCAGTCACCGATATCGGACTTCTGTCCCTTTCTAGCATATCCGGCTTGCAGAACATGACCATCGTCCATTTAGCGGGTATAACGCCGAATGGCGTGACAGCTACTCTTATGGTTTGTGGTTGTTTGACGAAAGTGAAGCTTCATGAAGCATTCAAATCCATGATGCCTCCTCATATGATAAAAAATGTCGAGGCACGAGGGTGTGTTTTCCAGTGGATCGATAAACCATTTAAGGTATTGTATTGCTCCCCTGGTTGCTTTACACAGCGTTAAACCCTTGCGACCAAGTCGTATAGGCGTCTTGCCCGATTTGCTACTTGAGAACACTACATAATTTGCCTCAGAAAAGTTGTGGTTCTAGCCAGATCTAAATGCAATGCTGTTTTTTGTACTTTCAGTATTTTTCCTATGCTTCAAAACACAAAAATCATGACTTGCTTATGCATGGTGTTTAAAAAAATGCCTAAAGAGGATAGCACAGTTGTCTTATATCTGTTGAGTGGATTTGTTGTTACTAGAATTACAATCATGCAAAAGTCAAGCATCTAATAACATGTGTGGCCTTGTGCAGGTTGAGGTGGAACCTTGTGATGTATGGAAGCAACAGTCCCAAGATGTGCTTGTACGATGAGAAGACCTGAAGTGTAGCTATTGTGGAAACCAGGTCATGCATCCTGTAGAAGGGATGGGTTCTGTTTGGTATCCAGAAGTGAAGCCTGAAGAACAACTCAATTTTGTACTGTAATCGGTGGGGTACCATGGTGATATGCCGACTTTGAGTAGTAGTGTATATCCTGATGTTGTATACTACTAGATGGGTAGATCCAATCCCAACTCACCCTCAATCTCACATTTGTTTGGTGAGGTGATCATATGCCTGGGAGTAAATTACATTTCTGTGGAGCACAGCTAGGAAGTTGCTGTATAGAATATTAGCATGTAAGATGAAGGGAAGATATTGATACGGAAGGGATGGTTTTGGTTGATAATAAAATGGTTTTGAAATTTAGTGCGACAGATATGCGTTGCAGTGCATGTGTTTGTTGGCTGTTGTATTCATATTTGTGATTATTGCATTGCATCTATCTGCTCGGGCCTGGTTTAGATTGCAAATTTTTGCAATTCGGACACTGTAGCACGTTTCGTTTGTATTTGACAAACTTTGTCCGATCATGGACTAATTAGGCTCAAAAGATTTGTCTCGTGATTTACAACCAAACTGTGCAATTAATTATTTTTTTTATCTACATTTAATGTTCTATGCTTGTGTCCAAAATTGATGTGATGGAGAGAGAGTGAAAAAAATTGGAATTTTGATGGGATCTAAACGAGGCCTCGGTTTGGGATGCAAGAACAGAATGAAGGATACTGGTGATCTCTCTGCCTGTTTATAGTGCTCGAGTTAAGTGGCTTGCCGGTTGCATACGCCATACAGGATCTGGTCGGTCGTATCCTCTCTCAAACAAACGAGGAGGCGAGAGTAGACCGAGACGCATGATCCTTAAGAGTTTGCAGGTGCTGGAGTTTGGTCATGTCCGATGTGAGTCAGTGTTGGACGGGACCATGGAATGGAACTCAAAGCACAGGGTGGGACAGGAATGGCAGGGAGAAGAGCAGTGTGAGGCAGCTAGCGTTGCAATGGACAGGCGACCATGGGCAGCTAGTAGCATTGAAGAAGCCGCTGCCAGGTGCGAGAGCGAGGAGACATGGGTGGGCGTCGGACAGGCAGTTGCCAACCACGGGTAGATGGCCGATGCTCCCGTCCTCCGTGAGCCCTTCACGGGCTTCACCCCTTGTCCCTTGATGAGTAAATGCATGGCATCTCCATCTCCGTCTCCATCTGCTGTTGCCGGGTTGCGTCGCCCCTCCGCCATGGCTCGCCGTTGCGCCCAGGGCAGAGCGCAGCAGCTGCTGCATAACTGCATTGCTCGAGCCCTTTTCCTTGTCCTGAATGCTGAAGCTGAGCAGAGTGTAAATAGCCTTGCTAACCCGTCCGTCCGTGATCCGTCCTACACAAGTAGAAGAAGCTTCAATGCTTTTCATTACATGGTGACGGATCCCTGTATCTTGTACTATGCATATAAGTCCGCGTTTAGATGGCAAAAATTTTTGACCTGAGCAAAAACCTGAGATCTAAATTTTTTTGGGTTTGCTGTTTTGTTCCCAAAATTTTTTGGATGATGTTTCCAAAACCTGACAGCTGCACCATGCAACATGCAAACACATGCATGCACCGGCTGCAAACACATGCAGGCACCGGCTGCATGCTAAAGCTACAAATGCATGCATGCTGTTGTCTCTCATGCAACAGCATGTATGTTTGATCACAATGACACAACAGATGTAATTAACAATTAATCATGCATAATTCATTTACAAAACTGTATTGACACAATTGTACATTTGCAGTACACATACATGTCCTCAAACACACAAAACTGTCAAGAATGGTTTAGCAAAGCATAAGCAATCGAATCACGAAATTCATTCATCAGATCAGACTCATCCTCAGCTTCCTCGGGGTCAGGCTGATTCTCAGATGCTTCTCGCGGCACATAGTTATCATCACGGTCACACCTTGCAAAGTGTCTATCCCCTATGCCACTTATCCTAATGAAATTATGTAGAGCACAACATGCAACTATGATTTGGCTTTGTTTATGAGGTGCATAAGAAGGGATCTGATGCAAGATGCGCCACCTCATTTTCAAAACTCCAAATGACCTTTCAATGACATTCCGAAGATATGAATGTGCATAATTGAAGGTCTCCTCTTTACCTTGGGGTTCTGGGGCGTCTCGATACTCCAACTTAGTTTCCTTGTAAGGAGCAAGGTAACCTAGCTGGTTAGGGTACCCGGAGTCCACAAGGTAGTATTTCCCTACATCAGCAAAAAAAAAATTTACATTGAGGTAGTTGAACAACAAGAAATTAAATGTGCTATCAGAAAGGTGTGTACCTGCAGGTGGATGTGGAAAGACATGGCTGTATGTTGTTGTTCCATCGTTGAATACTCTCATGTCATGTACAGACCCCGGCCAACCAGCAAGCACAAATGTAAATCTCATGTCAAAGTTACAGACAACCATGATATTTTGTGTAGTCATGTCCTTGCGGCACAAGTGCTGCACAAACTTATCATTGGGCACCACACAAGGTACATGAGTCCCATATATACCCCTATGCAGTCCTTGAAGTAGGGATAGAACCTAGGGTTTCTCAGTCTATGATGCATTGTTCTAAATTGTGGGTCGACAGGTTTAATGATGTCAGCAGTAAGCTTCACCATACACTTCAAAACTTTATTTACCATGTTGGAGACAGTCCCTAGTGACCTCTCAAATCTGTCCTCAGCTTGCCTAAAAGATTGTGGTGCCCCAATTATCCAAAGAAATATCCCTAGAGCCTCAACCGAGGTGGACTTAGCACTAGATTTGAGGCCATATGATTGTACTAAAAGATCATGCAGTCTATGGAACATAGGTGGGCTCATTCTAAACATGCTAAAACAGGCCTTGCTATCCCCCAGCTTCCTCTGTACCCATTTCAAACCAGTCATGGCAGGTTGCCTATACTCGGCCCTATTCAAATGCTTGTCAATGTGCAGGGCATACTGGTACATACCATAGATAAAAGCATCATCATCTTCAGCATCCTCTAACTCAACCGTCATCATCTCTTGTAAAACATCCCAAGGGTCTACACAATGGGTTGCTGCTGCTGATACAACATCAACCTGTCAAAACAAATAAGGAGTAAACTCAGTCATGAATCACATTACAAATCAATGCCATGCACGACTACGTTCATGACATGTGCCAGTCACTCTCACCCATGCATCACATAGTTCAAATGGTCACCATACTTGAAGTTCACCAAACATTACTACATTTAAGTTGTTGAAATAAGAAACATCACAAACATAGTTGAAACACACATTCATGCACTACAGACTTAGTTCAAATGACATAGGACATGGCTGACATTGTTTCAGGACACCATTACAAAATAAGATAAGATGGTCTATGGGTCGACCGACGCAGCTTGCTCGATGATGATCATCCTTTCTTCAGGGCCGTTGGCAAGGAAGAAGTCCATATCACTTTCATTGTGGATGACCTTGTATAGCCCCCTGAACAATGTTGGAGTTTGTGCACTTATACCCATCTCCTTTGCTATCTGGGTGACCCTGTCTATCTTCTGGCTAAGGGCCGACCGTGAATTGTGGTCCTCTTGCTTCCTGTGCTCAAACATGCTCTCCATCAGGCAGAGCCTACGATTGGCAATTTCATTGTGTGTCCTCATGTTGTTGTCCATTGCCCTCAGTGCTGGGCTCTTCGACCTCTTGCATGGGCTGGAGGCAGTGGTGCTCATGCTACTGGCCTTCTTGTTGCCAATGCTAAGTGGGGTCACCTGGTCATCCTGTTCATCTGCTGCCTCTTCATCGGAGCTTCCACCATCCAGGTCAATAGAACCACATTCACCAGCAACAAAAGAGGTGGAGCCATCTACTGTGTTTCTAGTAAACATTTTGTCCATTTGATCTAAGTACTCAGGCAAACCTTTCCTGAACTTCATCAAATCAGATTGCCCCTGCAATATGAAATCATTTGTTATGCAGTGTTTTACTTAGTAAGTGCTGAAACCCAGAAGAGATAGATAAACCATTTACGTTGGTATTTGCTTTCCACCATGCATCAGTGGCGTCAATAGTTCCATCGTCGCTACGGCCTAAGCCAGAGGCGTAGCGAAGCTTGTTACAGATATGCCCATTGGGCCTTCAGCTGCCTTAGCCTACCAGCAATCTGCTCCCTGTCATGGACCAAACCTGTTGCTGCTTGGTACCTCCTTATGAGGTCCCTCCACCCAGTCTTGCTCATGACTCCCTTGGTACAATTGCCAATGGCAATTTCATGGCACCATATGTCACATAACTTCTTAGTGTTTGGTACAGTCCAGTTTGCCTTATGTTTGATAGCCTAAACGATGCTTGTTTCAGTTCACCACATGTACAGAGATTAAAGCATTTGGTAAACACTTAAGCTAGGTTAATCAATATCTACAACTGTTGTAGCTTAAATTTGTATCACAGAACACTTAAGCTAGGTTAATCTAGACATGCATGTAACTCAGCAGATCTACTACTAAACAGAAGTTCAAGGAGAAAGGGAGTGGCATTTGTACCGGACTCATGGGCGTGCGTGTTGTCGTCTGATTGAAGTTGTCATCAAGAATGGCTGGCCCCTGCCCCATGGACACGCCAGATCAACTGCGCCCTAAGGACGGCTAGACGTGCCTCCCCGTGGCGGAGAAAGAGGAGGGACGAAGCCGCCTCCAACGGATGTTCCACCCATGCCTGCTCCTTGTCCTCCTCTGTCGGCGATGCCAGTGTTCGACCCGAGGTTGTGTGCACTGTTGCGGGAAGGCACGCGGATGGGGGTGGGAGCCATGGGGGGGGACCTCGTTGTCCCCCCGAATGTAGCCCGCGTAGGCCTGCATCTGCGTCCAGTCCTCGTCGGCGTTGAGATCCAGCGATTGCAACCCTAGCCGATCATCGGTTGAAGCTCACTGAACTCGAGAAGGTTTGCGCCCGTCGTCGGGGAGGAGTCGCTATCACGGCATGGCCCTGAG